GTTCACTATCATCATGGCTCACTATCATCATGGCTCACTATCATCATGGTTCACTATCATCATGACTCACTATCATCATGGTTCACTATCATCATGGCTCACTATCATCATAGCTCACTATCATCATGGCTCACTATCATCATGGTTCACTATCATCATGGTTCACTATCATCATGGCTCACTATCATCATGGCTCACTATCATCATGGTTCACTATCATCATGGTTCACTATCATCATGGCTCACTAACATCATGACTCACTACCATCATGGCTCACTATCATCATGGCTAACTATCCTCATGGTTCACTATCATCATGGCTCACTATCATCATGGTTCACTATCATCATGGTTCACTATCATCATGGTTCACTATCATCATGGTTCACTATCATCATGGCTCACTAACATCATGACTCACTACCATCATGGCTCACTATCATCATGGCTAACTATCCTCATGGTTCACTATCATCATGGCTCACTATCAGCATGGTTCACTATCATCATGGTTCACTATCATCATGGTTCACTATCATCATGGCTCACTATCATCATGGCTAACTATCCTCATGGTTCACTATCATCATGGCTCACTATCATCATGGTTCACTAACATCATGACTCACTACCATCATGGCTCACTATCATCATGGCTCACTATCATCATGGCTCACTATCATCATGATTCACTATCATCATGGTTCACTATCATCATGGCTCACTATCCTCATGGTTCACTATCATCATGGCTCACTATCCTCATGGTTCACTATCATCATGGCTCACTATCCTCATGGCTCACTATCATCATGGTTCACTATCATCATGGCTCACTATCCTCATGGCTAACTATCCTCATGGTTCACTATCATCATGGCTCACTATCATCATGGCTCACTATCATCATGACTCACTACCATCATGGTTCACTATCATCATGGCTCACTATCATCATGGTTCACTATCATCATGGCTCACTATCATCATGACTCACTATCCTCATGGCTCACTATCATCATGGCTCACTATCATCATGGCTCACTATCATCATGGTTCACTATCATCATGGTTCACTATCATCATGGCTCACTATCATCATGGCTCACTATCATCATGGCTCACTATCCTCAGGGCTCACTATCATCATGACTCACTATCATCATGACTCATGGTTCACTATCATCATGGTTCACTATCATCATGGCTCACTATCATCATGGCTCATTATCATCATGGTTCACTATCATCATGGTTCACTATCATCATGGCTAACTATCCTCATGGTTCACTATCATCATGGCTCACTATCATCATGGTTCACTAACATCATGACTCACTACCATCATGGTTCACTATCATCATGGCTCACTATCCTCATGGTTCACTATCATCATGGCTCACTATCATCATGGCTCACTATCATCATGGTTCACTATGATCATGGTTCACTATCATCATGGCTAACTATCCTCATGGTTCACTATCATCATGGCTCACTATCATCATGGTTCACTATCATCATGACTCACTACCATCATGGCTCACTATCATCATGGCTCACTATCATCATGGCTCACTATCATCATGGCTCACTATCATCATGACTCACTATCATCATGGCTCACTATCATCATGGCTTACTATCATCATGGCTCACTATCATCATGACTATCATCATGGTTCACTATCATTATGGTTCACTATCATCATGGCTCACTATCATCATGGCTCACTATCATCATGGTTCACTATCATCATGGTTCACTATCATCATGATTCACTATCCTCATAGCTCACTATCATCATGGCTCACTATCATCATGGTTCACTATCATCATGGCTCACTATCATCATGGCTCACTATCATCATGGCTCACTGCCACATTCATTCCTGGATTTCTGTGGCCACCATCATCCTGTTGTGTCTGGCTGGATTCGGAGCATCTTGATGGCAGGTCCAGGAGGGAAGACAGTGTATTAGGGAAGGTGAAGCTATCCAGACAGAGATCTCTGGGAGCAGGGAACGTGCTGGGAGGAGGCAGACCGTGACCCCAGCTCCTGGGGCCTGGGCACAGAGGCCACTGCTTACCCTGGCCAAGCTGCTTCAGGACAGCTGGTAAGAGAAATGTAGAGGGGGAGGGGAGGCTGGACACTGGCAGACAGAGGCATGAGCTGTCTGCAGTGGGCCAATGAAGCATGGAGGGGAAGGCCCCAACAGAGGTGGGGGGATTGTCTCCCTAATGCAGCCAGGTCTTCTGGAAATTTGGGGTAGAGACAGCCAGGGGCATCTTTCAACCTTTCCCTTGCTGTTGGCAGAGGAACCAACTGGGATCAGCTCATCAGGAGCAGAAGAGGGGCTTGAGCCCCTGCCAGCCTGGGGTCTTGGGCTCCCGAGTGGGGGCAGCCCTGTGGTCTGACGCACACGTCCCGCATCTCCTGACGGGAATCATTGTGAGGCTGTGGCTGGTGGCATGCGGTGCCCTGTGCCATAAACATTGATTATCTCAAGTTAATATATAATTCCACACCCACGGTATCTTACCAGCACCAGAGCTATTGTTCGATAAGGATTTAATGGGAAGGTGGAGAGAAAACTCGATAGGAGGCCTCTGTCATTGTGAGGTGCCAAGGTCACAGGGAGAGTAGCCCACACACCTGAGGTGTGTCTGGGAGGGCTAGGCCCTGTGCCCCGAGCCCACACACCTGAGCGTATGGTAGGGCTAGGCCGTGCGCCCCCACCCCCCCGATCCACCTGAGTGTCTGGGAGGGCTAGACCGTGTGCCCCGAGCTCACACACCTGAGTGTCTGGGAGGGCTAGGCCGTGTGCCCCGAGCCCACACACCTGAGTGTCTGGGAGGGCTAGGCCGTGTGCCCCGAGCCCACACACCTGAGTGTCTGGGAGGGCTAGGCCCTGTGCCCCGAGCCCACACACCTGAGTGTCTGGGAGGGCTAGGCCCTGTGCCCCGAGCCCACACACCTGAGGTGTGTCTGGGAGGGCTAGGCCGTGTGCCCCGAGCCCACACACCTGAGCGTATGGTAGGGCTAGGCCGTGCGCCCCCCCCATCCACCTGAGTGTCTGGGAGGGCTAGGCCGTGTGCCCCCCACCCACACACCTGAGTGTCTGGGAGGGCTAGGCCGTGCACCCCCCCCCTCCACCTGAGTGTCTGGGAGGGCTAGGCCGTGCACCCCCCCCTCCACCTGAGTGTCTGGGAGGGCTAGACCGTGTGCCCCCCGCCCCCCCCCCCCACCGATCCACCTGAGTGTCTGGGAGGGCTAGGCCGTGCGCCCCCCCCATCCACCTGAGTGTCTGGGAGGGCTAGGCCGTGCGCCCCCCCATCCACCTGAGTGTCTGGGAGGGCTAGGCCGTGCGCCCCCGCCCCTCCCCCCCCCACCCCCCACCCCCCCATCCAGCCTCCCTCACTGGAGGAGCCTTTGGGAGGCTTCATTCCACCTCCACAGGGAAAGTTCCTCTGCGGGTGTTCCTACCATGTCTTGTAACAAGTTCTGCTCCAACTGCAGTCAAAGGCTTGTCCACACAGCCACGGCAGCCAGGGCCCTCCTACCTCTGGCAGTGTCTTGCTCTTGACTCATAGACAGCAGCCCAGAGAGCAGGTACATAGCCTGCCACAAACTGGCTGCTCCCCTCCCAGCCTGAGGGCCCAGGAGAGGCTTGGTCGATGGCCGGTCTCTGTGTGGGCCCTGTGTGGGCCTGGCTGCCAGCAGGGAGGCCGGGGTCTGAGGTGAGTGGGGAGCACTGTGGGCTTCCCAGTCCTGCACTGGTCGCTCTACCCCCTTAGTCATTTTATGAACAACGGCTCCCTGCGTCCCCTTCCTTGCAGAAGGGAGCAGGCTCTGAGACAGTGCTCTGGGCATGACATGGTGCAGTACGGGAAGGAGGAAGGTACGGGCATGCATCCATCAGCTGGCGCCCCCAGTACCACAGCTCCTTCTCCATCTATGATTCCTGCTTAAACCCAGCCCTGGGCCCTGGGCCGCACGGGCACCAGCACATCTCTGCTCCAGTTGCTTCCGACAAGTGGCCCTGCTGAGGACATCACCACACAGACATCGTAGCGGCTCCACACCACACCCTGCTCATCTCTGCTGGAAGGGTTGCTCCACCCTGGACCCATGCTGCTTTGACATCTGCTCCATCCAGCTGCAGCTGGGCGGGGCGGGGCAGGGGGGAGGGCTGCACACATGGAGGATCAGGAACACACTGAGAACAAGGACCAAAGAAAATGTGCAGCCCCAGCCACACTGTCAGAAACTGCTAGCATCACAGAGGGTAGCTCGGGTCACCTGCGGCACGCATGGTGGAATGGCACCAGAGGCGGAATGAAATAGAGAGACGCCCCTGCCTCCTTCTTGGGCTGAGCCCCACTGCAAAGGACTCTGGGCCGCAGGTGCCGCCCTGCAGGTGCAGGGCTGCAGACAGGACGGAGCTTTCCTCATGCCTCTCCTGACCAGGTGACCACTCTGAACGCTGTGTGTGTCGGTCAGGTTGCAGGGAGTCCCCACCCAAACGTGCACACACACACACACAGACACGCACCACAGTACCCTGGCTGCACCTCTCCCTGCTTGCTCCAGGCTTTGGGAAAGGAAACCAAGGGCTGCAGGAATCTGGAAATTCAGAGGAGGGCCTGCAGGCACAGCCAGGGTGAGGACTGTGGTCGGTGGGTGACCAGACACCCCCCGAATGCTGTCACCGGTGTCAGACAAAGAAGCCAATTATCTTCACTCCCCAACCACCAGCCAGGGTGCCCCACGGACAATGCCCCATGTTGGCAGGCCTCTGGGCAGTGGCCAACAAGCCTGCCCTGGACGCGAGGTGGCCGTAACCCACACCCACACCACATAGGGCCCCCGGTCACCCACACCCACACAGGACACCCCATCCCCCACACCGACACCCACACAGGACACCCCATCCCCCACACAGGACACCCCGTCACCCACACAGGACACCCCATCCCCCACACAGGACACCCCATCACCCACACAGGACACCCACACAGGACACCCCGTCACCCACACAGGACACCCCATCCCCCACACAGGACACCCCATCCCCCACACAGGACACCCCGTCACCCACACAGGACACCCCATCCCCCATACAGGACATCCCATCCCCCACACAGGACACCCCATCCCCCACACAGGACACCCCGTCACCCACACAGGACACCCCATCCCCCACACAGGACACCCCATCCCCCACACAGGACACCCCGTCACCCACACAGGACACCCCATCCCCCACACAGGACATCCCATCCCCCACACAGGACACCCCATCCCCCACACAGGACACCCCATCCCCCACACAGGACACCCCGTCACCCACACAGGACACCCCATCCCCCACACAGGACACCCCATCCCCCACACAGGACATCCCATCCCCCACACAGGACACCCCATCCCCCACACAGGACACCCCGTCACCCACACAGGACACCCCATCCCCCACACAGGACACCCCGTCACCCACACAGGACACCCCGTCCCCCACACAGGACACCCCATCCCCCACACAGGACATCCCATCCCCCACACAGGACACCCCATCCCCCACACAGGACACCCCGTCACCCACACAGGACACCCCATCCCCCACACAGGACACCCCGTCACCCACACAGGACACCCCATCCCCCACACAGGACACCCCATCCCCCACACAGGACACCCCATCCCCCACACAGGACACCCCATCCCCCACACAGGACATCCCATCCCCCACACAGGACACCCCATCCCCCACACAGGACACCCCGTCACCCACACAGGACACCCCATCCCCCACACAGGACACCCCGTCACCCACACAGGACACCCCATCCCCCACACAGGACACCCCATCACCCACACAGGACACCCCGTCACCCACACAGGACACCCCATCCCCCACACAGGACACCCCATCCCCCACACAGGACACCCCATCCCCCACACAGGACACCCCGTCACCCACACAGGACACCCCATCCCCCACACAGGACACCCCGTCCCCCACACAGGACACCCCGTCACCCACACAGGACACCCCATCCCCCACACAGGACACCCCATCCCCCACACAGGACACCCCGTCACCCACACAGGACACCCCATCCCCCACACAGGACACCCCATCCCCCACACAGGACACCCCGTCACCCACACAGGACACCCCGTCACCCACACAGGACACCCCGTCCCCCACACCCACACCCACACCTGCACAGGGCCCACCCCGCACCTCCCAGAGTGCCCAAGGCTCAGTCAGCAGTGTTGGGGCCTCAGGCCTGGGCCAGACCCCGCAGCCTCCAGCCCCCCGGCTTTGGAAAGGGACTGGGCTGGCAGCCTGGGTGCCCAGCACTGGGCCTCTGGCCTTTCCCAAGGGTGTCGGGTGAACTGCTGGCTGCACACAGGGCGGTCAGTTGGGGCTGTTGTGCGGCTCTGTGTGTGATATCCCGTCTCTACATAGGGAAATTCAGAGAAGAACAAAGAACACATTCATGTGCCCACGGGGCCGGGCAGCCGGTGGTGAGCGGCCCTGGTCCAGTGGGAATGGGGAAGGGTGGTGGGTGTCTGTCCCAAGGGGGCAAATTCCTTCCCGGAGGTTCCTTGTGAGCAAGAAGAGCCGTGTTCTGCCAACCCCGCCCCCGCCAGGGAGGAAAGCTGGTGTCTGGAGCCCGGGTGGGGCTTGTGAGGCAGGCTCGCCTGTCCCAGGGGCCTGGCCTCCTCCGGAGCCGGCACCAAAGTCTGCGAGTCACCGCAGCACACACGCAGACAGGCGAACACAGGGGTCCCACGCACAGGAGCAGCTGCGGGCTGTGTCCAGGGCTGCTGGAGGCCACTTCACCCGGGAGAGGGAAACGCACCCGAGCCCACAGCCTGCTGTGTTCACAAGTGGACGCAGCGGAAGCCCCAGATGGGTTCTTGAAGATATTATTCTTGAAGTGTATGCTCTCAGCAGGTGCTCCTGGGAGTGGGGGCTGCGGCCCCTGTGGCCAGGCTCTGCCCAGGCCTGAGGTGCTTGGGGATGGATGGATGTCTTCCTCTACGGGGCCTCTCCTCCCAAGACCTCCGTCCTCTGCAGCCTGGGCCCGGTGGGCTCCCTGGGGAGGAGAGGCCCCCACACCCACCCCAGGCCACTAAAGGGTGACTCAGATGGCTCCAGCACCTAATCCTCCCTCGGTATTACACTCCATAAACCCTCAGCCGCCGCTTCTGAGAAGAAGTCAGGGTTTATGCTCAGCACCACTGTGTCTCCTTTACAGCCCAATTGACCTCAGCTTGTCCAGGGCTGTCCTGGGACAGCCTGTACCCACCTGGGGTGAATACAGGTGACCTCCTGCAAGGCTGCAGGTGGGGTAGACTGGGTGGGGCTCCCCTGAAGGCAGAGCAAGAAGGGCCAGGCAAAGCTGGCTCTGAGGAAGCCTGTGCGAACCGCCGCCGCCGCCGCCATTCAGCGTCCAGCCACAGGGGGCTCAGGGGACACAAGAGTCATGAGTTCAGGCCCTTCCCTTCCCTGCTTGGGCGAAGCCGGCCCACTCCAAGAGCCCTGCCATTCGCACTGACAAAAGAGTTGGGTGAGCATAGCAAAGCCCCAGCCTGACGCAGGTCCAAGTGAGCACATGAGCTGGGACCCGTCCGTCTGTCTCCCCATGACGTCAGGGGTGGCAGCGGGGTCAGCTCTGAGTCAGTGGCTGTGAGGAGCCGGGCCGTGGGACCAGAGGGAGCCACGGGGCCTGGTGTGCTGGGTCGTGGAGTCCCGCCCCAGAGCTGTTCTGTACCACTGGGGTCTGGCATGAGTGACATTCTGATTTAAAAGGCTAATGTGTGCAAATGAGTGTTGCTGCGTTCTGCCCTCTGCCTAGGAATTCCCTGTCTGTGCACCACTTGTAGGCATTCTTTGCAGTGAAAATTTTCCACATCAGGTGACCACTGAGGCCTGGCCTGGCTCCAGGTGCCCATGATGGCCGCATTTCAGGCCAGCACCTTTTCCTCTCAGGTGGTCAGAGGCCTGGATGGGAACTGACTCTGGGAGATGCCCATCCTCACCCTCAGGGCCCTTCGACAGCTGTCGGCTGTGTGAGGAGCTTTGAGGGTCAGACTCAAGTTAGAAAGGCCCCAGACCCAGCTCAGCTCCCCGGAAGCCAGCACCCTCCTCACCCCGACGCTGGGCTTGTGGTGACCAGCCGCTGACTTGGTGGTTACAGTGTCCACCCATCCACAGCAGCCCCAAGCTGAGGGCAACAGCTCAGGGAGCATTCGCAGGGCTCTGAACTCACTCCTGTAGACAAAACTGTATGCTTTAGGGAAATCTTGGATTCTTGTGAAAAGAAATGCTATCAAAGGTGATTGTGTGAACAAAGCTCCATCCACCAACTGTGCACCAGGCGCCTCTCGGAGGCCACGCCCCGGCCCGACTTAGGCTGCAGGTCTCTCCACATGCCTGGCGTTGCCTCCTCAAGTCCTCAGCATACACCGTTTCAGCCTGTAGACAAAGTCCAGTGGGCTCTCTCTGTGGGGTCTATTGTCTCCCGGCCTTTCAAGGCCAGAAACCATTGATCTCCCGAGGAGATGGGGCTTTGGCTGGCTGGGACGGCCAAGGGGGCCTGGCCCTGGTCCAAGGCCCTGGCTGTTCCTGGATCTGGGGCCTTCTCCAGGAGCTGTGTGCCGCAGACTGGTGCCATGGGCATTGGTGCCAGGGAATCACCAAGACCTGCAGTAAGAGGCGTGGAGCATGGGCCCTGGGGGTCACTAAGACTTGTGCCCCATAGCCACACGGAAAGCTGAGGCCAGTGGGTATGAACAGATTTCACCCGAGGCAGGAAGGGACCTGGTCCACCAGCCCGACAGCTCCCTTCTCTCCCTATCAGGCTTCCCACAGAAGTGCCTGGAGATTCCCGGGCTTCTGCTCTAAAGTGCAAGTCCTGGAGAGCTATGGAGTCTCAGCTCTTGAGCTAAGATGGTCAGAGGCGCTCCAGGGTGAAGGGGCTTGGTGGGGACCCAGCGTGTGCCCGGCCTCCTGCTGTGGCGGGTGGCGGCACACAGGTGAGCAGAGGAGGGAGCAGAGGTGGACCCAGCACAGGCTGCGCCAGCTCCACATCCAGCCCTGTGACCAGGCTCAGCCCTGAGACCCAGGACTGCTTGTTCCACGAGGAACCGAGATGCTTCTGTGATAACACTGCCACTGCGGGCCACCAGGCCTTCTGCTACCCCAGCAGCTCCACTTGACTCCTAGGTATTTCTAGTTATTTCTGACAACACGGGGTGGTTCCAAGGCCTCAGCCACCACCCAGCCTTGAGTCTAGCCACAGCAGTAGCCTGATCCTCAGGCTGGTGAACCAGCCCCTTCTGGAACAGGGCCAAGAAGCACAAGATGGGTGCAAAGCCCATCTGTGAGCCCGGCCCTCACCGGGTAGGGACACACAGGCAGGACCAAGGGGAGGGGGAGCCAGAGGAGTCCCTGCTGATGGCCCTGTGTGAGGGACACCACTGCTGCTGTGTGTGACCGAGGGGACTGCCAAGGGGACGGCAGGCCGCAGAGGGCCCTGGAGCTCGGTGGCTGGCTCCTCCTCGTCTCTCTGACACCCGAGCGCCGGAGGTCTGCTTCACATGCACCGGTCTCCAGCTGGGACTGCAGCTCTGTGCTGCACACAGAGCAAATGTCTGCTCGAGGGAAGTAAGCTATGGAGAGAAAGCTTAGGGAAAGTAACCACGCCTGAAAGGGGCAGAGCACATACGTGGACACAGACCAAGCTTGTTTCTTTGGAGCTGCCTGGGTGACAGGACCCAAGGAGCAGACCCTGCAGCAAACAAATGTGGGCAAGGGGTGTGGGAGATGGACGCCCACTGTTTGTGTGAAAACGGAAGAGGCCAATTAAATGTCCAGCTCTTGCACACGGCAAATGGCCTTTTGTTGTTAGTTAATAGATATATAGAAGGTAGACTTGTAGACTCAATAAGGCAACAAAGAGCATATTTTAAAAATGCAACTATGAGCTGGGCACCAGTGGCTCACACCCGTAATCCTTGCTACTCAGGAGGCTGAGATCTGAGGATCAAGGTTCAAAGCCAGCCCAGGCAGGAAAGTCCATGAGACTCTTATCTCCAATAAACCACTCAAAAACCAGAAGTGGCGCTGTGGCTCCAGCGGTAGAGTGCTTGCCTTGAGCTGAAGAGTGCAGGGACAGCGCCCAAGCCCAGAGTTCAGGCCCCACAACCAACAACAACAACAAAAAGTGCAACTATGTTGAAAATAAAGCTATAGAATTCCTGGCACTGTGAATGTAGTTCGGCAGACTAAAGCGGCTCAAGTACTCAGAGGCTGAAGCAGGATTGTTTGAACCATGAGCTGATGGCCAGCCTGGGCCAAACAGCTAGACTTCGTCCCTAGGAAAGAAAATGACATAATTAGATGCATTAATAAAAAGCAAAACTAGTATGGGAATACTATTGTCATTGTGACATTTAGAGGAAAAAATGGAAAGGGATATTTATTTCACAGTGATAGGGACCAAGGCTAAGATATTGCCTTCTTGTGTTGAGATGCAAGAGCACAGAAGCAAAAAGCCCAGGGGACCTATGTGACAAACGAAGCCATGTGGATGAGATCTTTGATCTCTGCTAATTACTGAAATTTGTGGAAATAGAGGATTGAACAACACAACCAACTACTGTAACCAAATCAGTGTACGTGGAACCCCGCCTCCCACAGCTGTTTTTTTACCAGGATTTGACAGATTTGCTGGTAGGTCAGATTCTTAATGATACCACAAGTTTATAAAAATAAAGCAGGAATGAAATAACATGGTTAGATGTCAGTCAGTAACAGAAAGATAATCAGAAATCCTCCAAATATTTGGAATCTACCCAGTTATAAATTAAACAGCATGGTTCTGAATATCCAAATGTCAAAGAGGAAATTACAATTGAAATAAGAAAACATCTTAAGCCAAATAATAAAAATACAAAATTCAAAACTGGGATGGACAAAACTAGTGAAATTTACGTTTATAGCTTATTGGAAAAGTCACTTTAAAAAAAAAAGGAGAAATGCTGAACATTGGTGGTACAAACTCTCTGTTCAGGGGGTTAGAAAAAGGAGATCAAAATAAATGCAAAGAAAATATAAGGAAATAATTGAGTTTCTAACTAGAAACAAAATGACAGACAAATCTATGTGAGGTGACAGAATACCAGAAGAATTCAAGTTTGATTTAATGGAGAGATTAAATATTAACTTAAAATGCAGTTATTAATAAACTTCTAGAAATCACTAAGAAGAAAGAGAAGATCCTGGCCATGATACAGAACACAGAAGAAAAGCCCTGCAGAGTCTCACAGACATTTTTTAAAGTACTAACAGAACGTACACACTTTATATGAATAAACTTGACAGTTTGGGTGTGAGAAGAAAATTTCCTTGAAAAATACATTTGCCAAAATGGACACAAGCATAAAGTTTGGCGTTTATTAGAGAAATTAAATCTTTCCGCAGAGTGAACTCTAGGGCCTATGGATTCACCAATCTATTGCCCACCCATGTTTTGCATACCTTTTGTTAGATTTTTTCCCTTAGGTAGTTCACTCTTTTGGTGCTGTGTAAATAGTATTTTTAATTTACTTTCATTTTCTAAAAAGCTTATTGCTAGTGTGTAGGGGCATAACTCATTTTGGAATCTGGAGTTCGAAGCCTGCAACTTTGGTGAATTCTTAGTATTTCCAAGACAATGGCACATGGCTTAATTGATGCCAGGGGGCCACTCAGAAATGAGTCCTTTGGATCCTTCCATCCCTTCAACCCGCAGATCCCTGCTTTACGTGAGCATGGTGTGTACCTGCACCAGCCAAGTTGGCTACGAGATCTCTAGGCCGTGTAACTTTACTGAGCCGCTAGCTAAGTGATTTTTCTATACGTTCTTCAGGGTCTGACTTCTATGCTAACAACTACAGTTCTGTGTCTCTGCCTTCATGGTTACATCTCATACTCTCTCTGCTCAAGGTGCTGGCTAGGGCCTCCGGCACCAGGGCACACATCAGTGGGCAGCAGGCACCTTGTGTCCCTGCTCTCAGTGAGAAACCGTTGTGGTACTCAGCGTTGACCGTTCCTCTTTGGTTAGTTTTACAGGCTGCCACAGGCATTTAGCAGGAGAGGACTTGAATTTTCATGAAGCTTGACATGGCTGCTTCCCATCCACCAGAGATTAACCGATGGCTCCAACAGCTTTTCTAACATCAACCCCCTCACCCTTCTTAGAGGAGCTGACCCCAACCCCAGTTCTGTCTGCTGACCAGACAGGCCCTGTCCTTTCTGAGGTCACTAGTCATCCAGGGTCAGGCATCCAATCTCATCTCTTTTCAATCTGAGGACTGCACTGGCATGGAGACTTTCCAGGGCAGAGGGCAGGGCTGCGGATGACCGCCATGCAGACATGGGGGGTGTGAGGAGGGAAGGCCGGCCAGGGGCCCAGCAGGGCCCTCTTCCCAGAGGAGACCCAGCCGGGGGCCCAGCTGAGGGGCCACACGGTGCAGAGGACACCTGGGTGGCTGCCCTGGGGTTGGGGTGTGATCCGTGGAATAATGGACTGTTAGGGAGGACTGAGCGCCCCTGTGGACAGGTCTGGGATGCTCTTCATGAATGAGGTGTGGGGAGGAGGGTTGGTGGCCTGAGCTGTGTGTGGAGGTCAGAGAAATGGGGAGCACGCTGTCACACCGGGGGGCCTCTGGAGGGAAGAACCAGGGTCATCTCAATGGGGCCAGAGCGGTGGTGTGGAGTGGGAGGCAGTGCAGGACCGAGGGTTGGGGACCCCAGGTGCTCTGCCTGGAGGCTGCAGGCCCCTCTGTCACCTGGGATCTCAACGGAGCTCACTGACACAGCAAATGAATGCTAATGATTTGCTCCTGCAAAATGCAAGGGCATTCCCGCAAGCCCACCCTGAGCAGTGCTGTTGGCTCTACCTGCCTGGCCCCCGTGAGCCCTCAGAGATCCCTGAAGCATGGAGGACGCCCCAAAGCTCCATCTCCCTCCCTATGCGGAGCTGGCCTGTGGTTTCTGTAGGCCGATGACCTTGTGAGGAAGTGTGCGTGTGTGTTGTCTTTTATTGAAGTTTTACATTCATCTCTAGATACGGTCAGTAAATACCCAACTAGACTGTAAATCCTCTGCCTCTTTGAAGTTCATGCGCTATAGACTGGATGTGCTTCATTTTCATCATCTTGAAGCTCGGATGCTTGTAGCTTTGGGCTGGTTTTTAGTGCTGTTTCAACGTCTTTGAGCTCCAGGAGCTGTGGGTTGTCCAGCCTGAGGATGGCTGAAGGACGGAAGCCACCAGATCACCACAAGTGCACACAGCGCTCGGAGGTGTTTGTGGCGGCTCTGGACTGAAGGGCTGGTTGGAGGACACGGGCCCTGGGTGGCCTGCGCCTCAGCCCTCCTTCAGGAGTGAGATGCCAGCCGCCGGGCTGCTCTTCTCTCCGCCTCTCCCTCCTCAGGCACCCATCAGCCGGGGCCTTCCAGCCACCACAGGGCCCCCAACGCCGCCCACCTGATGACCTTGGCAGTGCCCAGCCTTTCCAGCGCTGGCCTTCACCTGGAATCCCCACTGCAGGGGGAGGGGCCTCCAAGCGGAAGGTTTTGGGCTTGGGCAGGTCTGGGTGAAGCCAAGGGCCAAGATCAGGAGGAGCACTGGGAATCAGGGCTCATGCCGTGTGCATGAGATCCGTCCTTCCTGTGGCAGAGGGGACGCTGCCCCTGGAGGTTAGCCTCCTCCTCCTGTGGCGGGCGCGGCCCGGACACAGGAGCTGGGCGCCATGTGGGTGGCTCACCACACTGGGCCTCGCGCACGCCAGCCTGGCCCCAGCGGCCAGGGCGAGCAGCCAGGTCCTTCGGGCAGCTTGGTCCACCCCGGGTGCTCTGCCGACCGCCGGCGGGGCGGGCACCGCGCCTCCTGGGCTCTGGGCCGCATCCATCCATAGGACCCGAGAAAGCAAGGGGAGGGCTCTGTCCCCTCAGCCCTTCCTGCCCGCGCCCGCCCCGCCGCCCACCCCGCCGCCCACCCCGCCGCCCACCCCGCCGCCCACCCCGCCGCCCACCCCGCCGCCCGCCGCCCACCCCGCCGCCCACCCCGCCGCCCGCCGCCCACCCCGCCGTCCACCCCGCCGCCCACCCCGCCTCCCGCCGCCCACCCCGCCGTCCACCCCGCCGCCCACCCCGCCGCCCGCCGCCCACCCCACCGTCCACCGCCCACCCCGCCGCCCACCCCACCGTCCACCGCCCACCCCGCCGCCCACCCCGCCGCCCACCCCGCCTCCCGCCGCCCACCCCACCGTCCACCGCCCACCCCGCCGCCCACCCCGCCGCCCACCCCGCCGTGTCCACCCCGCCGCCCACCCCGCCGTGTCCACCCCACCGTCCGCCCCGCCGTCCACCCCACCATCCACCCCGCCATGTCCACCCCGCCGCCCACCCCCGTCCACCCCGCCGCCCACCCTTTATATCACAAATGCCTCCGCGCGGCCCCAGGCCCCGGTGCCGGTGAGCCTCACAGACGAACAGACGGACAGACAGATTCCCCGCCCCCCCCCCCGCCCTCCGGGAGAGGCCGCCTGTGGACAGACGGTTCAGCGGGCGAGGGGATGGGGAGGGAGGACCACGCGGGGTCCGGGGCGGGGTCGGCGGGGTCCGGGGCGGGGTCCGGGGCGGCGTCGGCGGGGTCCGGGGCGGCGTCGGCGGGGTCCGGGGCGGGGTCGGCGGGGTCCGGGGCGGCGTCGGCGGGGTCCGGGGCGGGGTCCGGGGCGGGGTCCGGGGCGGGGTCGGCGGGGTCCGGGGCGGGGTCCGGGGCGGGGTCCGGGGCGGGGTCGGCGGGGTCCGGGGCGGGGTCCGGGGCGGGGTCCGGGGCGGGGTCCGGGGCGGGGTCGGCGGGGTCCGGGGCGGGGTCCGGGGCGGCGTCGGCGGGGTCCGGGGCGGCGTCGGCGGGGTCCGGGGCGGGGTCGGCGGGGTCCGGGGCGGCGTCGGCGGGGTCCGGGGCGGGGTCCGGGGCGGGGTCCGGGGCGGGGTCGGCGGGGTCCGGGGCGGGGTCCGGGGCGGGGTCCGGGGCGGGGTCGGCGGGGTCCGGGGCGGGGTCCGGGGCGGGGTCCGGGGCGGGGTCCGGGGCGGGGTCGGCGGGGTCCGGGGCGGGGTCGGCGGGGTCCGGGGCGGGGTCCGGGGCGGGGTCCGGGGCGGGGTCGGCGGGGTCCGGGGCGGGGTCGGCGGGGTCCGGGGCGGGGTCCGGGGCGGGGTCCGGGGCGGGGTCGGCGGGGTCCGGGGCGGGGTCGGCGGGGTCCGGGGCGGCGTCGGCGGGGTCGGCGGGGTCCCGGCCTCCCCCCGGTTCCGTCCCGGGCCGCGTCCGCTCGCAGCCCCGGGCGGGGCGGGCGCGCCGCGCGCGAGGACCGGTTGCGCTCACGTGCGCCCGCGGGGGCGGCGAGGCCCCGCCCGGCCCGGGATTAAAGGCCGCCCGGGTGCGCCGGGTGCGGACTGCGGACGGCACGGGGCGCGCGGGGCGGAGGCGCTCGCGGAGCCGAGGCTAAGGGACGGACGGACCGACAGAGGACGGCGGACAGGGGACAGGAGGACAGACGGGCGGACGGACAGGGGACGGGCGGACGGACAGGGGACGGGCGGACAGACGGGCGGACGGGCGGACGGGCGGACAGGGGACGGGCGGACAGACGGGAGGACGGGCGGACAGGGGACGGGCGGACGGACAGGGGACTGGCGGACGGACAGACGGGCGGACGGACAGGGGACGGGCGGACGGACAGACGGGCGGACGGACAGGGGACGGGCGGACGGACAGGGGACGGGCGGGCGGCGGGCGCGATGCCGGGCCGCGCGCTGCTCCCGGCGCTGGCGCTGGCGCTCGGGGCGCTGCCGCGGGCCGCGGCCATAGAGGAGGAGCCGGGCGCGCGCGGCGGGAGCGGCTTCCAGGTGATCAGCTTCGAGTGGCGCCACGTCCAGGACCCGTACATCATCGCGCTCTGGATCCTCGTGGCCAGCCTGGCCAAGATCGGTGAGTGCGGGGCGCGGGGCCGGGGCGCCGGCCTCCCCTCCTCGGCCGAGCGGGCTTCCAGGCGCACGCGCGGGGCGCGGGTCCGAGTCAGGCGGCGGCCGTCGCAGCGACGCGCGGGGTGCGGGGAGGATCCCGGGCTGAGGTTCGGGTCGTTCCTCCCGCCGGCGGGTTCCAGACGCAGAGCACCGGGTGCGGCTCCTCCGAGCCTGCGGGGCCGCGGCGGCCCTGCGCGGAGCCGGGCGCGGAGCCGGGCGCGCCGCCCTCCCGGGGCCCGCGCCGAACCCGTTAGCTCGGCGCCGCCGCCGCCAGGCAGGAGAGGGCGCGGGCGGGGCGGGCGCACGGCCCCCGGCCAGGCGGCTTTCCCTCCGCCGTAGCCTCGCTGGGCCGAGCCCGGCCATCCGGTCCTTTAGCCTCCCCGGCCTCCCCGGCCTCCCCCCTCCCCCGGCCTCCCCGGCCTCCCCGGCCTCCCCGGCCTCCCCCCTCCCCCGGCCTCCCCGGCCTCCCCGGCCTCCCCGGCCTCCCCGGCCTCCCCCCTCCCCCGGCCTCCCCGGCCTCCCCGGCCTCCCCCCTCCCCCGGCCTCCCCCCTCCCCCGGCCTCCCCGGCCTCCCCGGCCTCCCCCCTCCCCCGGCCTCCCCGGCCTCCCCGGCCTCCCCCCACCCCCGGCCTCCCCCGGCCTCCCCCGGCCTCCCCGGCCTCCCCGGCCTCCCCCCTCCCCCGGCCTCCCCGGCCTCCCCGGCCTCCCCCCACCCCCGGCCTCCCCCGGCCTCCCCCGGCCTCCCCGGCCTCCCCGGCCTCCCCGGCCTCCCCCGGCCTCCCCCGGCCTCCCCGGCCTCCTGGGAGGTGGGCGGCGCTGCCGGCCTCCGGCCCGGGTCGTCCTCGGAGCCCCGCACCCGGGGCGCAAGCGCCGGCAGGGGTCACGTCCAATCCAGCCGGGCCTCGCACCCGGAGCCCGGCGCGGAGCGGCCGTGGCCCGCGAACCCGCGTCCCGCAGACTCCCGCGGGGACTGGCGGCGGGGCGGGCCCGGGCGCGCCGCGGGGCCCGACCTCGGGATGGCTGTCCCCGGGCGGCCCGGGGATGGAAGGCCCCTCCGTCTCACGCCGTGGCCGGGCTCTGGCTGGAGCCCTCACCTCCTCCCGCCCGCCCAGGCCTCCCGCGGTGACTCAGCTGACCCGGCCTCCCGGCCTCCATCCCGAGCTCGGCGCTCCGGCCCGTCCCCAGCTCCCTCCCTCCGCGTCCTCCCCTCTCCACCCCCACTAATCCTTCAGGTCGCACCAGTACCTCCAGATGCCCAGCCCAGGGGCTCCCCGGGTGTGCTGGCGGCCGGGCTTCCCGGAATGGCCTCTCCTCACACACCAGACTGCATGCCCCACAGCCCACACAGGGGACCAGCCCCTGCAGGGGGTAGCCTTGCATGTCACCAAGGTCCTGGGGCAGACTCACTGGGGACCAGACCCCCTGCTCTGCTCTGGGCCTTTCTCCAGCCCCAGTGGCTCCAGAACCAGATCAGAGAGGAAGGAGAGGAGGTATAGCCCTGCCCTGCGCCTTTTAGAGAGCAGTGCACACTCCTGGGCTTCAGGGCGCCCCAGGTCCCCAGGCCGGCCACGTCCCTGTTTCAATCACGATTGGAGTGCTGCATTCTCAAGTTACATAAACAGAAACTGTCCTCAACAAAAGAAGGGTGGGTTTATGTTGATTTTCCTAAACATTTGTTGAGATTCTCACGCACCCAGCCTGGTGGTCAGGAAACCAGACTTTTCCCAGGCAACCGTGCTGTGGATGGAGAAGACATGGACCCCAGGACACTGGACAGAACAGTTCTAACAGCTAGTACAGGGACGGTGGAGGAAGGAGCCGAGGCCACGGCGGCTGTCCCCCCAGGGCTGAGGCCTGCTCTAAGCAAGTGAGAGGTTCTTCTCTCCTGAGCCCGGGGCGGGGGGGGGGGGGGGGGAAGGCGAGGACCCAAAGCCCTGGGCAGTGGGACCCACCTGAGGACCCACCATCCTGCACCTCGGAGCCATGGCAAGGACCGAAGGACCGTCCTGGAGCCGGAGGCAGAGGATGGCTGAGGGAGCGGAGGAGGCTAGAGGAGGCTGGGAGAGAAGCTGGGGACACTGGAGGAAGCAGAGCCATCCCAACGGTGGGCCCAGGGAAAGGCAGGAAGGCAGACCACTGGTCTGACCGGAGGACAGAGCAGCACGGCAAGAGCAGTTGGAGCTTCCCCAGGGCTTCACCGGGTCGAGGAGGCCACCAGCCTGCAGAGGAGGCCCTCACAGGACTGGGGGCCATCGGGCCCGCCCTGGGAGCAGGGGTCCCCACGGCGGGTGAGATTTGGACAACCCACCTCTGCTAGCTGAAGGCAGAGCTGGGATCGGGATGAGACAGGGGGTCGCAGGGGAGGGGTGACCACAGGGAAGAGACAGAAATCCCCAGCTCCCTCCAGAGGTGCTCAGGGAGGCAGCCGACTCTCGCCCGTGAGGAGATGGGTAGCTGGGGACATGGTGGGCTGAGGCTTTAGGGGCCCGCAGGCCTGACGGAGGGGGTCATGAAGGGAGTGTCGGACTCAGGACGGGAGGTCCTGTGGCTGAGGGGCTGGAATGAAGGGACCCGGGCCCAACCCAAGATGTTCGTCTGAGCACAGACCATGGAGACGTACTTGCTTAGTGATCCCTTGTGGGTGTGTGTGTGGCAGGGCGTAACTAAATGGCACAGCCTCTGTCAGACACCTCCCGAGCTCCTCTCTGTCCGGAGGGGCTCTGCCAGGAGCACAGGGCTGCCCGCAGAAGGGCCGGAGCCGTGGAGGAGCCTGAGGTCTCGCTGGGCCTGGCTGCGACCGAGCCTGCTCTCCTTTCTCAGCCTCCTTAGGGCCTGGCAGGCTGTGGCTCTGGGGCGTCGCCCGCTTGGGCTGTGTTGGCAGGGGAGAGGCGGGCTGGTGGCTCCAAGGGCAGCTGCCTTCGTACCTCTCGGCCTCTCTCCGGTGACACCAAGCTCTGTTCCCAGCTACCTCTGAGGCACGGTTGGCCACCGTCGCTGTTGGGGACAGCTCACAGAGGATGTTTGTGGCCTCCTGTCCCTTCCAAGGCACCGTGAGGGGCCGACGCTCCTGGCTGGGCCCCACCCAGGCTGCCTTTCTGGGGTCCGGGGACCGTGATGCGTGGGGGCCTGGCTGGTAGTTCTGTGGCTCTCCGACTGTGTGGGTGGGGGTCACGCTCACCAGCAAGGGAGGACCTAAGAGCGGCCCAAGGTTTTCATGCTGTGTGGCGTGCCCCTGCCAGGAGCCGGCCCTGCCCGGGCCTCCGGGACCCTCACCAGGTGTCCCCTCGCTCGAGTTTCTTGAGTTCTTCTTGAAGGACAGGAGAGAGTGTGACCAGGAGGGCAGGGCAAACAGCAAGAGTCCCCAGGAGACCAGTCCTCCCAGTCTGGAGGTCCACGTGGACCCCAGACCCAGCAAGCTCGAGGGGCCTGGACAAGGACTGAGCACTGAAGGGAGAGTCCCTTGTTCCAGAATGGCCTTGGGGAGAGAGCCACATAGCATTCAGAGCCAAGGCTTCCTGAGGGAAAGGTCAAAGGTCCAGGAGGAGCCAGACCAGTCTCACCCTTCCACCGGTGACCTCGGCACACAGCCCCCATCACCAACCCCGAGGAAGTGGGCCTTGTCCCGGGATTTTGGTACCATGGCTGCGAGGCCGGGCATCACCGCCTCCTGTCTAATGTCCAAGGTCAGGGGTGCTACACGCACCAGGTCTGGAGGACTTGGCCCCAGGGTGCCGGGGCCGGGGGAGGCAGCCCTGGCTTCCCCCAGACACAGAGCCGGTTTCTCTGGCCCGGTGGGCAGTGGGGGTCCTGCCTGGAGGAGGCCTGCCATCCTCTTCTCTTCCTGACACTTTGGTTTTCTTGGTCTTGTAATCAGTTGAAGGGAGAGGGCGGGCACTAGGTTGGCCCCCAAGGCCCGTGCCAGGACTGACACCATCCGGAGGGCAAGCAGGAGAGAAAGAGGGGTGTCCAGCCCAGCCAAGCCCTCTCAGCTCCAGTGGAGTTCAGACTCCGCCTTCCTGCCAGCGCGCCAGCGGTGGAATTCAGGAGTCCAGGCCGCTGCCGCATCCTCCGCTCTGGCCCTCCCCTGCTCAGAAACACCCCACCTGGGAGGGCATCTCCTCCCACTGCGTCTCAGAGCCTGTGCCCGGCAAGGACTCAAGCCCACACGGTCAGGCACGGAGCAGGGCATGCCAGCCTGCCTGAGTATGTGGCTGAGCCCCGGCTTCCTGCCTGGAAGCCTCCTGCAGCCTCCCTAGACACTGGGCCCAGGAGGAGCCCCAAACCCGAGCCAGATTCCCTCCACTTCCCTCCAGTGTGCACCCATGAACCTCACCCACCCCTCAGAGCATGGGGGGGGGTCAGGGGGCATGGTGGGGGGGCTGCACTGAGCAGACCAGCCTCCCAGCAGTGGCAATCTGCTGCCCAGGCTCGATTCTGCTTTCCATCTGCCTCTGGAATGAAGCAGGACACTCAGGCCTGCCCAACGCCGAGCTGGCTCAGAGTCCACCTTGGCTCCTCCTGGGACCTAGAATGACCTGGAAGGAAGCCTGTCCTCAGCACAGTGCTGGTTCAGGGTTAGGGGCTTGAACTGTCCAATCAACACAGCTCTGGGACGACTCATCCATGAACTGTTCACTCCACCGGCATCTAGTGCTCACCATGTCTACCAAGTTCTACTGAGGTGGCTTCAGACAAAACAGAAGCGTATCTGTGGGAGCAGCTCTGGTGTGGGAGATGGGTGGGTGCTGCACTGTGGGGTGGAGGGTAGAGATGAATGAGGGAAAGCGAATCTCCACAGCCCTGTGGGCTGGGGGTGGACTCCCCAGCCCAGAGCAGCCAGCCCAAGGGCCCTGAGGCAGCCTTGAGGATGTGTGCAGGGTGCGGCGGATGGGGGGGGCAGGGAGGGCGGTCTGGCTGGCGGTCTGCTGGTGATTGGAAGAACAGGGAGCTCCAGCGGGAGAGGAG